CACTTGTCCAAAGGTAGGCAAAAAAGTATACTTAGAGATCTTCCGCGCGACAGGCTTGATTTCCCTGAAGTTCTAAAGCTCGCGATAAAGGCGGACGCAGACGATTACAATGACTTGGTGTGGAGAGGGATGAGGAGACGTGACTTCTCTCTCTACAAGGAGTATGTCACTGATAGATGTCCTGATTTCAAGGACTATCCCTGGTCGGAGAAGAATGAGGCCGTGGCAGAGGAAGTGAAGGAGATACGGGATATGGTGAAGGGATTGACGAGACAGGTTACAGAGATTGTGACCACTACAGGAGCCATGGCCTACCGGGACAAACCTGGAGGGCCCTATTCACTTCGCTGAGACCGTAGGAACAACGATCCCCGGAGGAGTGTCGAGGATAGAAATCCCCGGACGTTGACTGATTATCGTACGAGGGGAAGAGAGAGAGACGATGAATCATGGCGACGTAGGGACGATGAGATAGACCGAGACCGCAGAGATCGCGAGCTGTTTGTGCAAGCAAGGAGGCTAGATGATTACCCCCGAAACCCTCGCTATGAGGCCGATCGGGGTAGAGGCGACTCCCGCGGCCGATGAGAGACAGAACAGGGCCGACGAGATGGATATAGGGACGACAGATACGAGAGGTCGGGTCGAGATGGCTACAGAAGGAGTAGATATGAGAGAGGAGATCGGGACTGGGAACGACAAGATGGGTCGCGCGGACGGTTTGAGCGCGGGGGAAATGCGAGAGAGCAGCGCGACGAGTCGCGGGGATGGTACAACCGAGGAGACCGGCGCAACGATTCGCGCGGTCGGAATGAGAGAGGGGGATATGACGTCTCATCAGAACCATATCCCAAGTCGCCTGACCCCAAGGCGGCCAGGAATTCGATCTCTAGAGGCGCAGACGACAGGGCATCTACTCCCAGGAACTCATGCGTCTACTGTAGAGGAGAAGATCATATCAAGAGGGATTGCCCGGACCTCAAACGGGCAATAGATGACGGACTTGTCATGCTTGACGACCGTAAGTACGTCAAGTGGGCAGATGATCTGCGAGATGTATCGATGTTCCCTTCGATGAAGGAGAATGTCGAAGCAAGGAGAATAGAGACGAGTAAAGGAATGGAGCCGGTCAGGAGCCAGAGCATCAAGATAATCTTTGAGGAGGATATCGCGACCACACCCATAAGGGTGGCAGCCACTAAGTCGGCAAGAGGGTCTACATCGAAGAAGACTGACACGGATTACGTGATGACGGAGAAGG